CCCCAAGAAATTCGTGAAGCAAAAGACCTTCAAACTTTTAAAGTCTACTTAAATAGCTTTATTGATACCTAGCTTTAATTATCCCTATATATTTAGCCTAGTTCCTAAATAACATTACTATACTTACATTTAATTAACACTGTAAAGTTTTTTGTAGTTTAGCAGGACCCTACTGAAAAACACATTATTGTGACGTAGGCTTCCTGATTAAAAATTGCTTGAATTGAATTGAATTGAATTGAATGTTAATTGAAAATGTTCACACATGCATTACAAATCACCAGTCAACATGTGTCAACATTCCTACTTAACATGCGTTGAAATTAGATTTTGTTGCAAGTTGCAGCAATCTTGTTGCTCATATTACTCCAGCTTAAAGCTTTTAGAAACAAGCAATGTTTCCTCGAAACGATAACTTCTCAAGCCTGGTTTCCATATGATCGTAACGGTTGTAAAGTTTGAGTCACGATCTTTGCCATCAGCCGAAATACACAACATTTTAGAACTGAAAATACGTGGAGTGATTATAACAAGAGAATACTTACATGATTTATATGTGGTTTACAGGTATAAACTATATTATAAACTGGCCGTTGAGAAAGATCTATATCGTGACTCTGTTTTACTCGCTCGTGGGTGCAGAAAAATTGATCAAGTTTATTTTGAATAGCTTTTAATCTTTTTATGCTCAGGGAGTAGTCATTATTAATGCCGGTGGGGGGGGGAAGATATTTCTAAACTCATGGTAAGTTTTTCATGGACCCTCATTCTTTCAAAATATTTTTTTTCATGGCCCCCCTTTAAAAATAATAATTTTTTTTGGCCTCCCCCACTCTTCCCCCTGTGATTGAACTTGCATTCCAAACATATACTATAGATCACAGGCGGCCCATGCCAATCTCGCAAGCGACAGTATAGACTTGTGTATTATAGCAATGTATATTATAGTAAACATATGTAATAAAATATAAATTTTAAAATGAAATTGACTTGTCTATTCGATAGTGTGTGTTATCCTTTTATTCCTCTTTTGTTGGACTAATATTTTCCGAGACTTTGCAGTCGACCAGTCTCGATGGTACTTGACCCTTGCGAGATTGGACCACTTGTGGTGCAATTAATGATTTTCGATGACTGGGGGGAGCGGGAAATCAAAACAACAAGTCCAATATGGCGGGGAAATTTATCTTTATCTTGTATAAAAACCACATGGACGAATTGAACTAAATTTTGGCACAAGAATGAGTTTAAAAAGCATAGTATGGGAAAAAGAGCCTGTGGAGAATACCTGGAAACAGTTTGAAGAAATAATCTCGGCGAGATGCAGCGTAACTATGTAATGCATCTAGTCATTGTTTTCCCCCTGAGGGGAGGGGGGGTGGGGGTGCGGGCGACCCAGGGGACATTGACCACACTATGAAGTCCCAGTGAGGGAAATTTGAACTATGCATCAACTCCCAGAGTCGGGAAATTTTGACATCCGCCATCTTGAAAGTTTGCGCGGTTTTGACATCAAAAGGCCTGGTAACAAGTATGGCGGAGAAGCAAGATCAAATTTCATCGAAAAAGGTATTTTATACACAGTGTCTCGATTTTTACCAAGTTTAAACCAGTGTAGATTGTATGTTCGCGTTGGAAACATATGTGTACCTTGTTATCTTAGGAATATAGTGGGGAATTTTGACAGCCGTTCCTTGCCCAACAGTGGGTATTTTGACTATAAAATTTTAAAAATGTTAAAATTCCCCTGGGTTTCCCGCACCCCCCCCCCCCCTCAGGGGTAAAACATTGATAGGTGCATAAGTCTGTAATACAATTTATAAAGATTTTCTTAATACTCTGAACATATGTTATTTGAGTTTGAATCATTTGTCCTAGTTTAAGTTATGTGCCTTTTTGAGTTTATGATCATTTCCCAAGTTTGTTTATGCCAAATTGCTTACAAAAGAATTAAAAACTCTTGACAAAATGAAGTTGAATTTTAAAGAAAACTATTTTGTCATCATGCCATGCATAAAATAAATAAATAATCACACGGGCAAGTCGTGCAATTAATTATTAACGGCTTGTGCAATTTTAGCACATTTTTCAAATATCACTCGTAGTGTTAATTATTAATTTCACTCCTTCCCTTACCTAACTTATATAGCATTGACATTTATATTACAGAGCACTATAATTGCTGATATTTTATGATTAGTGTACATTATTTTCGGTGCCCGCCTACCTTTCTTTGATATTTTTGGTAGCCCCCCCCTTAAGTGGTTAATGAATTTTTGGTCCCCCCGCCCCCAAATATTTTCCGCCCCCCCTCTCCCAGCATTAATGATGACTGCTCCCTAATGAATAGCTTTTAGACAACGAACTCAATAATTATTTCAACTAAAACTTGCCAATTTCGTGTGTTATTCACATGGAACAACTAAAATCAACATGACAAAGAAGGTTGTCAAACATTTGCTCGTCTGAATAGGTATAAATTGCAATGTGCACAGTACTTTAATGTGAACAGCAAATTCGGGCCTTACTATACTTAAAATGCATATTATATTAAACATCTACTCTTTTGTGCGTGTTGCGCAGTAACACAATTCAACTAGTAAAAAGAAATATCAATAAAATTACCTTTGACCGATAAACATCATATCGCGTAATGGCGAGCACCGTTTTTCTTCATAAGTCCATTTGCTCAGGTGACAGTATATTCAACAATTTCGTCCTTGACAAGTTTTGTTTGACAACATTATTTGTTCGTGTTCGAGACAAAAACTTAGTAGGTTTTCCTTAAGACTCGGCTCTTTGTGTTTACTTTGTTTAAAGTCCAGTAGCACAGATGTGCACAGACGCTTAATTTTGTTGTTAATCTTTTGACGTACATGTGCGTGTAAACATATATAATTATCCAATATATATGTTTTCACAAGGAAAATTTGTCAAGGAAAAATTGCATCCGAATGTTGTACCCCTAGCTCTCGCTCAGAACCAATAACACTGTAGAATAATTTTTATGTTATTTTTTAATTTTTGTCTCACACAGACTTTTCATTTCGAATTACACACTTTAATATTATCTAAAAATTATATTTAAATGATGTGCTTACATTATATCAATGTACACATATGTGAAAAATTACATTTCAGGACGCATTACACCGTGCTTTCACACAAAACATTTTGGTTATGTCACGAGTACCTCTCTGGGAGCCTGAATTTTATTGTTACCTCAACAATTATATAACAGTTGATAGAAGGACTTGATTTGGACTTTAAAGCCGATTTACACTATATACAATTTCTACTAAAACTGTCGCATACAACCTGCTTACAACTTTAGTTGTTCTGTGTAAATCAAGCACAGGTAAAGTTGCGTAGTGTAAATCGGCCTTTAGGAAGTTTTTTTTGAAGAAATACGTGGTCTATAGGCCTATATACACCACACTTGTCCTAGCTGTCTGTAAAATTTTCACAAACTGCCTGCAGTGGCAAAGTGCTGTTTGTCATGCAGTGAAGCTTTTAGATAACGTGTCAGTTGTCAGTCAAAAATTAAATTATTATGGAATGACGTCAATCATTCAGTCTCTCTTGATAAGAATAAAGGCATTCGTGAGGCAATTCGTAAATGGGCGAATTTATAATTAAGCAACAAGCCATCAATATATAATCAGATGATGAACACAGATTTGAAATATAGGCCTACTTGACGTATATTCTATACTTCAGATCTGGTTCAAACGGTGTATGCCCCTAAAATATTTATATTTACCTAATGTTATACTTATTACATTACAAATTATATGAAAGCTATATTGTGCACGTTTACAATTATTATATATAATTAATTACAGATTATTATCGTGCATTACATATTATGTGCAATTACTATTAAATTATAATACTATATAACTAAAAACTATTATATATATATATATATATATATATATATATATATATATATATATATATATATATATATATATATATATATATATATATATATATATATATATATATATATATATATATATATATATATATATATATATATATATGTTCATTTTAAATACAAAAACAGATGCATTCAATCATTTGCTGCCCAGTACTAGTACATGCAATCGAGCATTCGATGCAAATGAGGGTCCTAATCAAATATCTTTCGTACAGCTGATTGTATAGGTCTTGCATTGGAACATTTTCCCAATTTTTGTACTTGTTTGCATAATACCTTGTCGGACTTTCACAGAAAGTCAGCTCCAATTAGAAAATTTACTAAAATCATTAAATCTTGAAGTGATAATTTGACAATGGTATTAATTCAAGGTGACCCAAAGAAGTACCTATAGCTGTGTTCCAAATTTGTACACAGCAAGTTATTAGCATGAATCGAAAATTCAATCTAAGGGATAAATTTTGACACAAAGATTATTAAAATTGGTTTAATGTAACAAATGCTATGGGCATGGCTGCTGAAAATAGAATCTGTTTCACCCAATCGACCATTGAAATCATACGTCAAGGTTTCAGGAGCCCTTACTTTAAGCAGCCATGCATTACATTGGCTATACTAGACCAAAGTGTACTTAGATTGATATTTCGAATGCCCACTAATAGTCAGCTTTGTAAAATACCCTGTATAGTGAAATTATTACTTGATCATATTATATTATAAAATTATGTGTAGTGATTATGTTATATGCATCACTCAGTTGTAACTTAATATGTACTTTGTCGCAAACTCGTATGAGTAAAATTGTGTAATTCATGCTATATGGCCGCGTTAAAGCTTGCTGGTGTTATATGGCACCAATCTGTTGCCTGGTACGTCCATGCATGGAGTCAAAATATTATCTGGAATTCCTAGAATTTGAGTGTTGCTTTCAGCAACTTGTATCGTGAATTTGAAAATTTTGATTTTCCGAATCAAAGTTTAATTTTTTTAGGCTATTTTTTTAGGCTAATTTGTTTCTTATTTCTTGAAATTATGTGTTCGTAATGGACTACATGTACAATGTTACATGTCCAGTCCTACGACTGCGGTACGGTATAGCGCACATACTAACCGCTATATACTACACACGTACAAAATCAATAGTTTGGATCGAACTGGATTGAAACCAGAAAATTAATAACTTATATTATAATAGTAGAATTGTCACTTTGAATTTTATCAAAGAACAGATACTGATCAACTGACTTAATTATTGTTCGCGACATACTGACGATATACTAAAACCACGGCCTATTTGTTTTAAAATATTCAGGTAGTTTTCGTTGATAATATATATTTACACATGCATTGCGTGTATCCTATGTCATACATGCCAATGCCATGTTATGTTATGTTATGTTATGTTATGTTATGTTATGTTATGTTATGTTATGTTATGTTATGTTATGTTATGTTATGTTATGTTATGTTATGTTATGTTATGTTATGTTATGTTACGTTACGTTACGTTACGTTACGTTACGTTACGTTACGTTATGTTATGTTATGTTATGTTATGTTATGTTATGTCATTTTATGTTATGTTAATACATTATGTTTAACAAATGTAGAACATTTTACGTGTTGATATATAATCTATAGCCTACAGTTATATCAACACGAGTGGAATGTTTATGTTATGTGGAATGTTTATCAACACGACTGAAATGTTTACGTTAGTAGAATGTTTATGTTATGTTATGTTAAATATGTTATGTTATGTTATGTGAAGTGCAACTAATATACACGAGTGCTTATAGTATATACATGAATATACTTGCTTGGTCACCGTATTTACGGACTTTAGTGCCGATATAAAATATCAGCAGGAAAACGCTCTGGTTTTGCCATATCAGATATAATTATGTTCCGCAGTATATAGAGATTAATGTGAGATTCGTAATGAAACATTACCCCAAATAGTACGATTTTCTCATTTTCTGCCAAAGTGTTTTCTCACTCGATATATACCTGTATAGTTACAGCATTTCTGCAAGATCGTTTTGGATCTTGATCAATCGTGACAATGAGTAAGCGATTTTCTTCTTTGTTAACGGAAACTCTTCCAAACAGCATTTCAATGATCCATGAATAGAACGCGCAGATAATGACATATCTGACATGCAGCTGTCTCTCAAACGTCTTAGAAAGAAAAATTATCGTTCTGCATTTCTAAGACTTTTTTCAAGAGCTGTTCTTTGCGGTTCTTTTGTATTCTAATCTGTTGTAGAAGACTTCTTTCTTCAGCCTGCACCTGTAAGATATAGCTGTATGCTTTCTGTAGAATTGAAACTTTCGGTGCTCTGTCGTTGCCACAAATATCAGGAATTGAGTCCCGAAGATATTGAAAACGCAATTTTAGTTCGTTTCTTCTTTTACGTTCCAAAACATTGTGTGTTGCTCGGCCAAGTATTTCACAGTCAGGGTCAGATTCATCTCCTGATAAAATTCGAGTTTTTTCTTCCGTACAATTTTCCTTATCAGAATCGCTGCTACTTGATCTTCTTCTCTTTGTTCCTGAACGAAGGTTACATGAATAATCATGATCAGTGTTTTCACAATGTTGTGACGTGGTCTCTACAACATTGCACGAAGCAGGCGCAATTACACATTTTTCGGTGTTAGTTTCTGATTCTACTTCGTCTTTGTTCTTTAGTTCGACTTTCTGGTTTCCTTCTAATCCAACAACATCAACTTCCACTTCTTCATCTATTGGAGAATATCAGAATGTAAATAATTACATTTAAATCGCAACGAGCATGCATTATATTCCACCAGGGACCGGTACGTTGTTCGAAAGCCAATTAGCTTAAACACTACAGGTTAACCTAAAATTCAAAGCACAATATTTCTTCAGATGATCGGTCTGGATCAGTAGAAGTTTTCTTCTCGGAAGTTTTTAAATAAACAGACGTTCTGAAATACTTAAGCCAAAATTTCAAGTTAAATTTTAACCGAGGTTCAGTGCTAATCCAGCTTTGAACAATCGCGGCCTCAGCTTTTATGGAATTTTAGGATACAAGGGCCGGTTGTCACCTTTCGCACTAACTACATGTATAGTTAACTATAACTACATTCTTATGGAACCAGATTTTGGGTTGTTTCTTTGATTTTGGATTTTGAAAGATATCTTAAAGATCTTGGTCGGAAAGATTTTTAGATTTTCGAGTTTTATTTCAGAGATTTGCAGTATGTTTTTACCCTTCCACACATCGTTTGGGTCAGGGTCATTATTTTTTTACGCATCAAATTACAAAAAAATTAATAAAGCTAGAACTAATGAAAGTGTTCCTTCCGTGGTATATTTAACGATGTTTTCTGGAGTTTAACGACTTCTGTACGAAAGTTTTGCGGGCAATATATATCCGAGTCTTGAATCATGTCCAAGTTGTAGAAGACTTTTTCCGACTCTCAAAAACACGTGGCATCCCAAGTGTATATCATCAAATAACAGGGGCTCGGACAATTAAACTCGGAAGAGGATATAATTTAGTATGGTACGAGAAACATATTGCGTTGGGCAACTGCTTAAAATCATATAGGAAAAGCTATGGGATAAAAGTTAAAAGCTTCCATATATTGATAGTGATGTTATTCAATAGTTCTCCGGCTCAAAATGTGCAAAAACATGTCCGTGTGCGGATTAAGGAAAACTGTGCTCCTCTCGTAGTAGTATATAAAATATAGTGAATAATATGGTTAAGGTTTCAAACATAAATTTTAAAAATCACAATCAAGTTTGATGGCCAAGAGATGTGCCTCGATTTTATGCTGTTTTACCGACCTAGACATTTTGGTACCAATTTACCGACTATACCTATTTTTAATCACTTTACCGACAAAATAACATTCATGGGGGGTGTCGCACTTCCAACACCCCTCCTTCCGCTATAGGATATAATATCCCGACCGCAGGAAACTTTTAGGATTAAGTTGCAACTATAGAAATTACATAAATTGTTAAACACGTTCTCGATCGGCCTGATTATTTATTTATTAGACGAGCAGAATATAATCAAGCAGAAAAAATAACATGTTGAGCAAATTTATGACGTCTCAACCTGGCTGCGCTTTTTCTTAATTTTCTTATTATTTTTCCCTAACTGGCTCAAAATGCGCTGAAAATGTTTTTAGTATTTTTGGGGACAGGTAGGTCAGACCAAGGCAGCTAATTTGAAACATTATACTAATAGGTTAAGGCAGTTCTGCATGTGCGCGAAGACCCTCCCACTAGCAAGATGGCACTAATTAATCTAAAATCATAGGTAAACTATTACTAACGGACCAAATAATTTCCAAGTTGTGAAAAAAATAACCCTGGATTTAACGTAATTTTAAAATATAAAGATCTTACGTGCACACTGCGGGTACATGCATTAGCCAGGAAATTTGGAAATACTTAAATTAGAACTAATAAAATATTGTGCAACAATTACCATAGGAATATTGTATAGACTTCCTAGCAGTCATTTGTGCTCATGTAATATATTTAATTAAAATTGTTTCCACTTTCGCAAGACATACTGGCATTTGTTTATGGGTATGACTCCTCCTATTTCAGTAATGTTTAGTAATTTTCCCATATTTGGTTAAACGGTTTCTTGGATAAAGATGACCATTATATTAACTATGAGATGATTTACCGGTCTAGGACGAAACCACTGCAGAACTTATTGATCTCAAAAGAAGTTATCATTCTCACAATTGAAGCAGAGGAAAAACATTACAGGACATTGCACAATGACGGAATCTGTGGACACTGTCCCAAGAGTGTTACTTTAGATTTGATGAAATGCAACAAATGTACAATTTGTATAAAATATATGTCGTATAGGTCTTTTTCATGTCGAACCTTTTAGGGTGTGGCAGAAAAAGTTATACATGAGTACAGTCAAATCAGTGCAGTTATTGCTGAGCAACATATAAATAAATAAAACTATTTTTTCCTTACAGATAGTTCTAACTAATTCCAATCCCCAGATGCATGTAGATCAACTAAAATGAAATACAATAAATCCCGCGAGTGATGCTGTTGGAGCATCCATGTTGTATGCATGTTTGTGCAATATAATAATCATCTAATCTTGAGCATGTTTTTCGAGAAAAACCCAGAATATATCTTAATGTTGTGATGTTGTCATTCGGCGAAAATAATTATGATGTTATACGTTTTTGTAATTTTGCATAGAAACACCACGCATATTTATTACTGCAAAGGTTTAGATCCGTAAGCACGTATCAAATCTAAAACTAGTCAACAATCTAAAACTAGTCGCAAGAATATTGTGGGCTTCCACTCTTCCCACACCTTCTTTACAAAATAATTATGCTCTTAATTATAAAAAAATTAGAGAAATCGGATGAAGATTGCCGGGCAGAAAATATGAACTGTACTCACAATTTCTCTGCGCCTACTTTTTGAATAACATGGCTGTAAGCAAAAATTTACTCGTGTAACATTGCCTTATATACAGAGTAGAAGTGCTTGTTATACCGTCATAAATAGTCTCAGAGATTGATGTGAATACTTTGCCCTCCTATTTTGTCCTCGTCTGGACTCTGGTGGGTAAGGGCAGTTGTTTGCAATAAAATGTTTGTTTCTATTTTTCCCGTGCAATATTAAATAATATATTAAATTGCATAGTTTGAAACCAAACACTTTTTTAAAAGCAATCTTCAATAGAATTGTGATATTGGTTAAGACTATAAAATCAATGATCGATTCTTTATATATTAAATTGTCTTGTTTTGCATGAGTTAAACTTTCCTCAAACAAAGCAGAGTAGGTTTTAGACTTAGAAGTCGTTTGCATGGAAAACTTTTCAAAGTATAATTAATTACGCATTAAATGGATATTTCAAACTAAATACTCCTTTGAAACCTGTCTTCAATAGACATATTTCATGGTTAAGACTATAATATTGATAATTACAAGCGGAAAATCTATTCTTCATATATTGTCTTGTTTCGCATGAGCTATAGAGTTTCCTCGACAAGGCAGAGACGGTTTTAGAAGCTTACACTCGTTTCCACGGAAAACCTTTCGAAGTATTAAATAACGTATAGTGAATGCATAATTAAACTCTCTTTTAAAAGCAGACTTCAATATAGACTTATTGATGGTTATGACTATGATATCAACAATACTTATGCAAGCGGAAAATCGATTCTTTATCCACTGTTATTCAAATTAAGTCGTTTTTAAATGAAGCTAACATCTTGTGGACTTGCGTGTTTTAGAACCTCCATTTATTCAGTAAATTGTTGCCAACGCACAACTGTGTTTGTTTAGTATATACTATTGTCGTCTTTGATAAGGAATTAACATATGACAAAATAAATGAATCCTACAATATTATAAATATATTCCAAGACTCTTAAGAAAAGATAAGTCTTGTAGTGAAAAAGACGGACAATATTTTTAACGATTTGTTTGATATTACTATAGCATGTTGTTTGTCGAGTGTATACTAATGATATACACGCCAATGAAAGACTACTCTAATACGGTCGTCATTATTCGGCTAAGATTCTTCACTCATAGTTGAATTGTGCATAGATATACTATAGTCCATAGATAGATTACATATGATATACTTAAATCGATTTTCAATGATTTGTTGAATATTCATTGTGTCGTCTGATATCAAATATGCATTACTGAATAATATGTTGTACATTTATAAGAAAGACTGCAATCTTTTACGTGAACTAAACATTACTGCTTGTTAGGGTAAACTAAGTTTTGTATATTATCACATACACAAAAGACACAATATGTGGTAATATTAAACCCCGACTATATACCAACTATAATCACAAACCATTTACCGGCCTATATTGGCATTAGCGCACACGACACGTTATTTGCACCTCTATGCACTATATTTAATGCCAGAGGCAAAATGCAAATTACACGTCTATTGACTATATAGCATAGACAACTTACAAATGAACACGTTTTATTTGCAAAGACTTGCCATTGCATTTGAGAATTTTTCTTTCCATGCATTATTTGAAAAGTTTTTTGCCACTTGCTTATTAACAATTTATAAAATATTCATTGTGTTTTTACCGCCATTTTTACTTATTTACTATACAACAAGTCCAGACATAGATAATACTACGACTGAAAATTAATAGCGTAAGTGTGATTTTCTAGAAAAAATAACTTAAAATCCCAGATTTGTTTTTTATTAATACTCTTTAACAAAAATTTGAAAATTGTATAAGGGTAGAAAAACTGAAAAGAAATAAATATAAAAAATATCATTGTTTACTTACCAGTGTTATCGTTGTTATTGTCCGCAGTAGTTACTTTTCCCGCCTTTAGTTGCTCGCTGAAATTGAAAGGCCAGATCTCACTTGGATCTACATACATGATGCGTAAATTACAGTCTATTAATGGTGGTGTTTTCGTGAGCTGTCGTAGTTTCTCAAAGTTGCGTCCTTTCTTAGGTGATTCACCGTTCCACATACAATCTCTAATTAGCATAGATTTTAAATCCTTTGTGCGAGAAGCTCCCGACAACATCTCATCAGTTTCATTTTGCTTCTCGCTTAAAATGGCTTCGTACGATGGACTGCTGTCTGGAGACGACGGAGGAGTTAGGAAGACAGTTAGGGGCCATATATCATTGTCTGCTTCACTTTGTCCTTTTGTCAGTGACGAGTACTCGTAGTATTTCGAAATTTTTTCCTTGAGCGACACTCCACCAAATATATCGTCCACTTCGCTTTCTAAATGATCCATCTCCTTGGATAGAAACATCCTAAAAATTACAAATAGGATTTATAGTCTGTTTAAGTCATTTCAAGGGTCATTTTAGTGAAGCGGGAAAACTGCTCAATACCTTCTTGTGAGTAGTCGTATTGTCTTATTCGCCAAGGTAAATTGTCCAATAAGGTTCGAGTATTCTGTACACTTATTCGCTGCGTGCTCCCTTTGTGTGCTCTTACATAAAGCGCGCGCTAGTCAGTTCTGACTGCTGGCCTCTGCTACACTTCAGAATTTATATATACCGTTCATTCATCGCTTCATTCAAAAGATCGTAAACAAAGACTGAATGAGCCCGCCTACGACATAAGAATATATTAGCTGGCTTTCCTTTTAGACCAGTTAGAATTTCTCTGGTCAGCCGATAATAATCAAAATCCTATTCACCTTGCTGACTCTACATAAATGCTAAAAAATAGATTGCCATTTAGTTATCATAAGCACGGATGGAAACTACTCCAAATATTAATTTAGCTGCTTATTGTATTGGCTGTGCCATACACAATGCCACAAAATAAAATTTCGCAATAGCACGCACGTATCGTATGAGGGGGCTAAATGCAAAGGGTAGTAGGAGTTTTTAGGCTTTTGAAAAGGAAATTTAGAAGAAACGTAGGGTTTTTTGGAGAATATATATATTTATCGTCTAATCTTGCCACCACCTGTTGATTCGACATCTGGCATTGAGGGTTAGAAATGCTAATTACTCTAATATCTCTTTGTTCGCAATGTGTTAGGCCGCGTGGCGGTAACAACATATCACCCAACCGTAACAAATTGACAATATCATAATCGCCTGTCTTAAGCTCTCTTATTCAAATGCAAACATATTCTCATGAACATGAAATATATAGCAATCCCACGTAAAATAAATGGGTCACTAAGTGTAGGTTATACGAGGATACAATATCGTGGTAGTGCATGGTTTTAGCAGGTTTTATTTATGACCGGAAATCTCAATGCGTTTTAAGAGACTGCGATCGAGTGTTATCAGTGTGACAGTGTCGTCATCTAAATATATATATTATTAAATTGCTTCCACGAGACAACACGTGCCTGATGTCAACAATACAGAGACTTGATGACTTCCTGCTGAGATGCGCACTAGGGTTATTTGAACGAAGTATAATGAATCAGCAAGCAGTCCCTTTAATCTTTTCAAACTAACCAACTTGATATTAAAGATTAACAGCTGCGAACAGTTGAGTTTATCGAACTACCATCTAGGTTACGCACTTGGTAATTTCAACATTATAATGGCCGCCTATGCACCACAGGCATCTTTCATAATCAGTGTTGTCAGTGGTAGGGGGGCGATCTCGTACCCATAGTTAATACTTACCTGCGAACGGGCATACTGTGGTTACGAGTTTGGCTTGGAGCAAAGCGGTATTACAGCCAGTAACTCATATCTACTGGGATACCGGGGGGGGGGGGGCAGGCGTTCTAGTCCAGATTATAAACAACGCAGATACAACTGCCAAGATTTTACGATCAAAATATTTCCAGGAATTTCTGGTAAGATCAACATCATTACGATAGCCCACTTACCACAGACATATCATCTTCGGTAGTCAGTTGGCAATCTCGCGCAGGTGACTATAAGCAAATACACTCTGGGACAACATATTGGGGGCGAGGGAGGGTCAATTTCTATACACATTTTGCTCTCATACAAACATAGAATCGAAATGTTTACTATTTCAGTTATCTTACTATGATCAACGAAATGTTCAATCAGTTCTGTGTTTCAAGCCTTGATGATAAAATGCAATGAAAATTCTCAATTGGCTGAAACGAAAAAATGCATTTCAAATATTTCCAAATGGACAGAGTATGAATTCTTGTTAGATTTTCTCATGCAGACAGAATATATGGCCGAAGATATTTTCTTTCATAAATATTATTATTCAGGAATAGCGCGTGAATTATCTGGAAATTTGAAAACCTACTTATGTGAGTTCAGAACGTCCTTCGTACGTTGAAAAACCAAAGTGTGCATGTTTTCCAAATTACACCAGCAGCCATATCACGGGGAAGGGGAAAACCTTACAATTAATTTCTTAAAAAAAGAGAGTTTGGGAATAGTGTGGTTATTAATTTTTTCGCAGCTCAGGCAAAATTGGCGCGTTTCCTGTATTCAAACTGGATAGCGTTTTAATTGACCAAGTTCAAAGATTGGATTAAGTTTTGATCAAGATTAAGTACTGCCCTTGAGCATAGTAAGGCTATGTTCAAGGGCAAGCACCAGCCTAGTTCCTGTCTTTTCTACGACACTATAGGCGCGCTGAAGAGAGTCTGGGGGCGAAAGACCTAGCACAAATCGCAAATCTGCCCTTCTTGGAACCATCTTTGCCCTTCGGGCGGCACAATGGGTTCTACATATGAACATAGATGTTATTTGTATAACTTTATGCCTTTGGGATGAACAATGAAGACATTTCGATATGGAAGGAAATACATGTACTGACAGGGCGGATACAATTACTGAATTATATATATAGAAAAATCGGGAAGAACGGATGTTTTTGGATAGATTGACTGATTTATACCAATTCAGTTTGGTAGGAATGTCATTGAATCTTATTCAGTGCTATTTTCCCGGTACGCTCATGACAATATATAAGACAATCTCATTGGGATATAAGTCAAAATTGAATTTGTCACCGCCAACACGCATGGCCAAAACGTTTCATTTTATATACCTTGATTCCTGCTACCACATTCTTGAATTAAAGCATGTACATTTTTACTGAGACTATACGCTTTTTGTGTGATTCTTGCCAATTTTCTCGAGTTTATTTCTTCGTGTTTTATCTTTCAATTTTCCCGCTTTAGTTACACAACTGCACTGATCTCAAGTTAGTTTGCGACACTGGAACTTTAATAAATTTAATTTTACATCTACTAGAAATGGAATACCTTATTTACTTGTCCTGATGGGGAAAAACTGCATTGAAAACCAAAGAAACACCGCAAGAATTATTTCATTTCTACACGTATTGTTGGCTTACAGTAACATTAATTATTAAAACATACATAATTAAAATAATTCAAAATTAATTTCTTTTATGCTGCTCTCATGCAGTATCAATCTCATTATACGAATTATCATTAAAACTCGCCGCAATCTCAGACATAATTAAATTTAAAACACATTAATTTACAAAATAAACTCATTAGCTTTAATGGACGTATATCTTGCTAGCTTGAAACCTTTTGAGTCATTACGATGAATTAATGAACATTGTAAACAAAAATTGATATTGTCCAAAAAATTGAAAAACAAAACTTAAAATAATATTATGACGAATTCTTATCGTATTCGATATTTTCTGCATTTCCAACTAATTTTGTCATATATGCCTACATACAATAAATGATCATCCTTTAAACAATTCCTGACACAATTTTAAGTTGTTGTGATGACGTCATTGCTACATCATATTTAAATCTGAAATTCGAACGTGACATGTTCTAGTTCCTATATAGTTGAAGCTTGATAGTTGATATACATGTATATCCAGTCTATCTGAGCCTGCATGAAGCATGTTTACGTCCATTGAAGTTTTCTCTGTGGATTTCTCTATGGGTTTTGAAGCCGCACCTAAAATAGAATTTATTTGGATCTTCCTATATGAATGCACTTTTATCCAGTCCTGCTATTTGGACAACTTTTATCCAGTGTTTGCCTAGCATAGTTCCAGACTTTCCAATGTGACTGGATTGGTTTTGAACCGCAGGAGAAGGCCTAGTGAAATTCGTCAACTTCGTCTTAGTCCTAAATTCATACAGTAACCCGTTAGCATTATATTAACTAAAATTTTTAAATAGTTCATTAATAGCTGATTATATATAATTATGACAACGAGATTTGTTTAGCTGAAATCATTACTCAAGACGTAATTAAATTAAATTATCTGCGCGCATCTCACACAAAATTGGCAGCTCTGTATGTGGAACGTAGAAAACTTTCAAATTTTAATTGGAAGACCGCTGGAAAATGAGCATTCTGTACTCCATATTGCGCCATGCATTCTCTTCGTTTCATAAAAACACGAAATGCCATGTTCAGGCTGGTTATTCTTATTTTCCACAAAATTACGCTTAGCTTAAAATATTCTTGCAGTTGTTGGTATTATATTATGTTTATATATTTTGATTTTTTTGGCATCCCGATTCAGTAATACTGTATTTGATGGGTTTTGTAGATGGAAATTACTGAATGGAGTTTTTCGTGTGGACATTTATTTAAATTTCCACTTCATATATATATATATATATATATATATATATATATATATATATATATATATATATATATATATATATATATATAT